CCTCGCCAGGCAAGGTGCCGCTCCCTTAAACTACCAAGTTCCCAGACACACGGTGCTCTGGAAGAGCTAAGGAAGAGGGCTTAGAATGGTAGCTGCCAGGATGCCATGGGCTCCAGCTCCAGGAAATTCAGAGGGGACCACCACCTCATATGCTTGGCAGAGACAGGAAAGGAATTGACTTTCTTTTTTTTTAAATTTGCTATAAGGTACATGCACTCACTGGATGGGGAGACACAGAGACACATGGAGAGATAAGGAAAGAGAGAAAGCACTTCCCAGGGAGAATGGCCACACTGCAATCCCTTCTCCTCCATTCTCCTCTTGGGACTTTGGGTATGTGCACACATGCTCCTGGCATGACTTTTAAGCTGCCAGGTCCAGGACTTGAACCAAGCAGTCAGCCATGTAGGATCCAGCCGTCTTAACCACCACACCACCAGCTAGCCCAGGAATCAAGTTTTAAACCTCAAGTGCCACAAAGGCTGCAATATACCCTTTATGTATAAGCAGAGGAACGCATAAGAGAGTTAGGACTAAAGAACTTTTATCAAAGAAAAAGAAAGATAGCTAGCTGCCAACGACTGCTCCAGGGCATTACTCTGTCCAGAGAATGGCCCTCACGCACCCCAAGAGTGATAAAGTCAAGGGGGACTGAAGGGGAGTTCAATTCCCATTCGATCTCCAGGTTCCAAAAATCTCGCCCACTGGCCCTTCGGCATGTCAAGCTGCTTCTGGAGCAGTAGGGTCACAGCAGAAAGGCACAAGTCATCCAGCATCGGGCTGCCCGAAGCCTGCGTAGTTCTCCGGAGCTGCCCAGAGCCACCCACCCAGGACTGGAGCAGCCTGTACTGTGGCCGTCCCTCTCCACATTTCTTTCCTACCAATGTTTTAACCTAAACCTGTTCCACTCACCCACCTTAAACCCAAGGAGGAGAAAGCGACCTCCCCCCACCCGACGGTGCTCGGGGTAGACAGCTCGCCCGCTGCAGCTCTCCCACCTCTCCATCCCCAACCATCCCTCTGGGATGGACCAAATCCACCCTTGCAAAGGCCACTGGCCTCCTCGCGGCGCTCGCTTTTCTCAGAAGGTGGTCTCTTTCTTTGGCTTCCAGGACATCCCACGTCTCTGGCTCTCCTCCCTTGGCAGTCTTGCCTCTTTTAGCATTGCTCCTGGGCTTCCCCTGCCCCTCAGCTGTTGGGCCCGAGCCTGCAAACAGGAGGCTGCAGGCCCGAATGGAACCACGCATGCGTGTGCTACTCAAGGGTTTAAGCCCTCAGCCCCATTCCTGTGGCTTGAGGACCGCTTCTGTGCCAGCGTCAATCTGCACCATCCCTCAGGTCTCTCACCTGCATCACATCAGCTGTCAGCTGTGTCTGCTAGGAGTGTCCCTCTCCAGGCACTGCACAGACACAAATTCCAACGTCACACTGAACTCACCGGCTGCCTGACCCAGCCCTCAGGTTAGAGCACCACGTGAACAGCCACGTGGACCTTCTCAGAGCCTCCTTGCTCCACAGCCCCTCAGCCAACCCTGGATCCTCTTAATTCCCCCTGCTGCCAACGCCCGCTGGGGCTCCTCTGCAAGCCCCGGGTGCAACTCCTTCCACCTCTGCACCTCTTATCGGGGTCCCTCTTAACTGCTAGCCTCCACGCCAGCTGCTGGTCTGTATGGACAACTCAGTGCCACTCTGAGCCCACAAGTCGCCATGAGCCTGCCCTGCCTCCAGGATCCTTCCCAATCAACAAGAACATTCCGGTTCTTCCAGACTGGGCCCCAAAAGCCCCAGGCCAATTTCATCTACCACATACGAAGGGCAAGGCCACAGCAGTGGCGATCCTGACACTTACGGTATGAAAAATTTTAAAACGGCTTTCTGGGCGCGTGTACGTGCATGCCCAAGATCCCGAGAGGAGAATGAAGGAGAAGGGACTGTGGTGTGGCTATCCCCCCTGGGGGCTGATTTCTCGCTTTCTGTCTCTCTGTCTCTCTGTGTCTGTCTGGCGAGCACACGCACCCTATAGCAAAAAAAAAAAAAAAAAAAAAAAACAAACAAACAGAAAAAAAACAGCTTTACCCAAACTTGCCAAACC